GCGTGACTTCTTTATCGGAACATCGTAGCCGAGCCATTTCTGTGGTGTTCCTCAATCGGATTCCCGTCCTTAGGCCCTGTTAACACGAGAACGCTCGCGGGTGAAAACGTAAAAATATTTTATCGGATGTGCCTTATATTTCGTTTACACGGCGATGGCGTTTTTGAGGCTCAAAAAAGCAAAAAAAGTGAAACCACCCTCCAGAGTGGAAATCTTAAATCTTATCCGTGTAAACGGTAAAAACGCAAAAGTTTGCTTGACGGTGAAAGTTGTACGCAGGCGCGTGGACTTGGTGTTGTAGTATGCACTCCTAGCCGCCTGAAGTGCATACTACATTGAATTTCACACACTTTTGCGTCTCCATTTGCACGCGGATTTCTCACACAAAACGCTCGTCTAAACGCAGAATAAAAAAAAAAGATGACGCAACGCCACTTTTGCGTTTTCTCATCAGAATCGTTTCCGTGTTTAGCCTCAGTTGGGCACTTTCGAGCCTATGCTTCCAAATGTAGTGCCTTCCGCCATTGCCTCCGGTGCTCCTCGTCAGTGGTGGGTGTAGCTAAATCGTAAAGTGCACCACAACAACAATCTGACCGCCTCACATTATGTTCGTTACACCGTTGGTCCAATTGTTCTCTCCTCTTAATCCAACTGTTATGGCAGCACCTAACTGAACATTTAATACTTGACATATTTTACCGTTCGTTTCAACTAGCGCAGAATCTCATCCCTCTCATGAGCCGGAAGTTGAAGTCTTTCTCAGACGGGAGTAATGACAAAACGAACGCAATGGCGTCACCCTTGTTGTCGTGCAAAATAAGGTGAATAGAAGAAAACTGTTTCCAAACCTCGAACTGTTATCTTTGCTTCGGGAATGCTGTAATTTTAAAGTATTTTTCTCGCGCTTGAAGCAATAAACTAACGTTATTGGTTGCACCTCCATTACGTCACCACATTTGTTGTGTTTATGGTTGTGAGTGCCCAGACAGCAAACTGACATTGAATCAACGTGGAAACGACGTCTCTCATGACATTGAAACAACGTTGATTTGCTCATCGAATTAACGTTGAACCAACGTCAGACGCGGAATTCTTCAAAGCTAAATGAAATCGAAAATTGGTTTGCTTTCATAACGTTGAAACAACGCGTTGATTTCAAGTTGATTTTCCGTTAGTTTTGAAAGAATGACGCATCTGACGTTGGTTCAACGTTAATTCGATGAGCAAAACAATGTCAGATCAACGTTGTTTCGATGTCATATTTCCACGTTGATTCAATGTCAGTTTGCTATCTGGGTGGTGAATTTCAAACCTCAAAACGCCCCCTTTTCTTGCAGCTTGTTTGTTTGCGGAAGGACTTATTCACTCAAACCACAAACCTCGGTATGACGCGTTGCAAGTGAATCTATTTAATTTTGTGAATAAATATGATGCTCTTCAACATGGAAGGATAACCAGCTGCTGACAATAACACGGGAAAGCCCGGTGGTTTTGCGACCACGTTTCACATCATGCATGCCCAAAGAATTAACTCTGCCAAAACCGTGATGTCATTGTCCATCTCAGTTCAGATCTCATATAATGGTGTCAATGCAGGCAGTTCAATAACATTGTTGAATATTAAATAAAAATGTCTCCAACTAAGCAAAGCCAATGGCGACAAATGTTGTTGTCTGCAATTGGTAAAACTTCACAATTAAAATTTAGATATTCTGAAATGTTTCCCTGTATTTTTTATTTCATTAAATATTCAGATGTTTTTGTGAACGTATATTCATGGTGTTTATTTTGTCCTGTTTTTATAAAAGAATATTTGATTAGGATACTTTTTTTCATACAGTGGTTTTAAGGCCCCACAGGCAACATAAGCCAACCCTAGAGTTGGCTTTAGTCATTGCTAGTTCTTTGACGTCGGTTTTCTGTTTCAGGGCCTTAAGAATTTATTTATTTTCTGTACAAAAAACTTGTTTGCTGTAGACCAGAGATAATTTTCAATCCTGAAGTCCTCTGCCACTCCTCCCTCTGAGAACAGCCAGCACCCTTAGTGTCAGTCATTAACATATGAAAGGTCTTCTTCACACCTCTCACACCCAGCAGTGTTTCAGCTGTATATGTCCGTGAAATTTCACGGATTCCTGTATATGCCCGCTTAGGTGAGGTTTCCGGGTTTGTCTGGAAATATACTGTTCCGTGTTACTCTAATCCGCTTTTTCCCACATACATCCAGCAAACATCAAATTGCACAGGAGTTTACCATGCCCGGATATTGACGGATTTGAGTCTTTTCATGCAGTGTAACTGACGCTAAAGGGCGCCTAAAGCGTCAGATATTGAAGCATGTCCAAATGCTTCCCAAGGCGTCAGTTAGGTGACGCCTTGGGAGTGAGAATGGGCTGGTAAAAAATGAACAAGCAACTGAAAATGTTCAGTTGACATGTAAACCATTGCTTTAAAAAACAAGGTAACACTTTAGAATACGGTTCCTTCGTTAATGAATAACTACACAAGAACTAATGAGTAACACAATATTAACAATCTAGTAACTATTATTAACTAACAAGAAATTCTGATTAACGAACTAGTAAGTAATAGCGCACAGACGAAAGTGGTAGTTCACTATTAAGTAATCAATAACTACTATTTTTTTAATACTTCCCAGAGAACTACTGAAAAAGTTTATTAACAATCTAGTAACTACTATTAACTAAAAGAAATTCTTATTAACGAATTAGTAAGTAATAGCTCACAGATGAAAGTGTTACTAGATACTTCTGTGGGAATTACTAATTATTTGGATTCGTATTATAAAGTGAAGATCATTGGAACTAACTAGTAATGACTCAAGTGTTACTAAAGACATTTTCTAAAAGTATACTAAAGTTCACCAAAAAATCTCAAACATTTGCACAAATCATGACTAGATCATGTAGTAACACTTGAGTAATTACTAGCTAGTTCCAATGATCTTCACTTTATAATACGGATCCAAATAATTAGTAATTCCCACAGAAGTATCTAGTAACACTTTCATCTGTGAGCTATTACTTACTAATTCGTTAATAAGAATTTCTTTTAGTTATAATAGTAGTTACTAGATTATTAATAAACTTTTTCAGTAGTTCTCTGGGAAGTATTAAAAAAATAGTAGTTATTGATTACTTAATAGTGAACTACCACTTTCGTCTGTGCGCTATTACTTACTTGTTCGTTAATCAGAGTTTCTTGTTAGTTAATAATAGTTACTAGATTGTTAATATTGTGTTACTCATTAGTTCTTGTGTAGTTATTCATTAACGAAGGAACCGTATTCTAAAGTGTTACCAAAAACAATATTCATTTTCTTTTTTTGTACTACAGTGTTGACTTTTCCCAATCAATTTTGACCTAAAACAGGAAATTTGAATATAACATATTTCCATGGTGAAAAAGCATCTAAACATTGTCACCAGTGTGGCTCACACAATGACATAAACACTTATTATGTTGTTGGCATTGGCCAACTAAGTTTTGATGATCCAGCAAACAGTTGTGACAATTGAGCTTATAGTTTAGAGAATGTTACAACTGTTTTGAAAAATGTGCCAAAACTATTGAGGAAAAATATATGTAACAACTTCCCCCCCATTGGAGGCTTTGGAAATCACATATAAAGTTAGAGTTGTCTAATAAAGCCTCTTCTAATCAAACTGCCCTTTAAAAAAGTATACTTGAAATATATTCCCTTTTCCAATAGCACATTGCAAATATAACAAAAAATGTACTATCTTTAAATAGGCCGATATTATATTAGCACAATTAAAATACACTTAAACACACTTAAAATAATAGCTCTAAACACATATTTTAGAAATATATACTTTGAGTATATTTTATTTTTAAAATATAATATTAAGAGTAGAGAGTAAGACTACATTTTATTTTTTAAAAGTGTTTTTTATTTGCACTTTATTACAAATATATTTTAGGTATTTTTTAACTGTGTGCTATAAATGATCATTGTAACAATGCATTGAAAGCGTACTTAAATTCAACAGTATTTTGTATAAAGTATAGATATGTATTATTTGTCTATTAATGTGTTACTGAAATTATTATACGTATTATTTGTCTATTAAATTGTTACTGAAAACAAAGTGTGCAATTTGTAGTAAAAAAGTATTATAAAAGGTGAAAACGCCAAAAATAAATCTTTAAAAAAAAATATATAGGCTATGCAAATACACTTGTGATGCTTGTGTTTCAAAGTCACTCGTAATGAATTTGTATACTTGTAACACAAATAAAGTACACTTTACAGTTTTTCTCAGTTGCTTTGGTGCATTCTCAAAACAATCCGTGCGTACAAACAGCACCACACACTGGATTACATGCAAAAGGCCACTTACTCAAAATCTTTAGTTCATCTCTCAAAGTATTCATGTCAATGAACATATCAGTGCCATCAGAATGAAAAGTCCTTGTGTCATTGGTCACAAAAGAGTCAAAATGCTTTGTCATGTTGTCAATAAAACACTGCACTCTGTTAGTAGGCTATTACCTGATGTAAATTATGGCAACAGTTTGGATGACAGTTACTGTATTGAAATGTACAAAGCACTTCTTATATGCCATATATCCATTTCAAAAGTTTACACACTACTGTAGCCTACATGAGTTATTGATTGAAAGAGACTGCATATGATTCACAGTTACACTTTTACTAGTGATCTGACAAAAAAAAAATAGGCTACATTATTATTGGACAAGATAGATAGATAGATAGATAGATAGATAGATAGATAGATAGATAGATAGATAGATAGATAGATAGATAGATAGATAGATAGATAGATAGATAGATAGATAGATAGAGTGAATATCTAGTGAATCATATTCAACAATAATATTCTGAAAATATTTTGCGAACTGATGCTAAATGAAAGAAGACTGAAATAATTAAAACGCAAAGGTCAGGTCCCGCCCACATGCCCCGCCTACATTTCGCGCTGCGTCCAGCAGCACAGCCTGAAATCACACCGTGTTTGTGTGTGCCATCCATGGGCTGCTCTATATTCTCATCCTTATAGGGCCGCTCATCATCCGGGTTCGCTTTGCCCTAGAAACAAATGCAGCTCTGGACCGACAACTTTATTCTTCATTCGTTTGGTTTGACGTTGCACCGAACGAACGTAGGAACTATATAGGCTAAGGGATGACTATTCACAGGAGTGTAGCCTAGATGGTCTATCGTGTTCATGGCGTATCAGCAAACTGTCATCTTCCGTCCTATCCGTGATGTTTTGACACATCGATGTGTCGTTTGAATGTGCAACAGGCTCCCGCCATATATTTATGCGGTTTATGGAGACGATGGATCATCAAAGGGAGGATGCATCTTAGTGCCCTACATTTTTTTCGCTTGTGGTTACATTATAGCAATTTTATTAATGTTGTTCACTTACGACTATGACTCTTTGAATTGTGATCTTTGATCTGCACACAACTGAACAGCACTTCAGTTTGGCGAAGTAATTTTTGTCGAGGTTTGTGCCAGAGTATAAGGGAATTTAAAATGGCAACTCAAGTTACGGGGAGGAAAAGAATTCCCAACCGGGAGAAACTATCGGCGGAGGATGATGCGCTCAGTCAAATAGCTCGAGAGGTAAGACAGATGAACTGCATTTCACGTGGTACTGTAGCTCTGCGCAAAATGTCGTCCTTTTACAAGTGCTGGAGTTCTTCAATGTTAGTCTTAAGTGGAATCCCCAACGACCTTGCTGAATTATGAAAGGGTTTTGTCGGTTGTGCTTTGCTCTGTCCCCCTTTTTTCCGCATGCAGTACGGAAAAATGAGCACGCATACGATGACGCTTCGCTTGTCCTTTCATAATGTGAATGGGAAACATCGCACCCCTCCCCTCCCAATTATTAGGGTCTTGTGAATGACAAACATACATTATTCGTCGCAGTCTGAATCGAGGCATTGATGCTAGCTAGCATGACCTACATGATTCCACGTCTTCAGTTAATAGGTAGACAATTTCCCCTATATACAAATAGCGCTAATGCATTTGAGCAACAGCATCTTCATGGATACTTGCACAGCTGCGTGACGTCATGAAGCGAAGATCAAACGAAAATGCTGAGAGAAGGTCCCAGACTGCTGACGTCAGAAACTACTCTGATGCGGCACATCACACCCATTAAATGGCCCAAATAACCTTAGGGATATATTTTAAAACACACCGAGCTCAAATCGCGCTTATTACTTAAATACTTTGATCCTGCTTTGTCCTTCTGTCGTTTGGCTTTCAGTTTGTAATGAAAAGCAGACTCAAGGAGCTAGATTTATTTCTTTTCTGAAAGGAAAATGTTTGTTATAAATGCAGAAACTTAATGGTGCAGGCTTGCTATTTAACTTATACTCATCAAGCATTAGCCTATTACTAGCCTTAAACAGTTTTTATAATTAAGTCATTCCTAATGTTTCAAAATATCTTTCATATTAAAAGTTAGTTATATGAGTTCAAAATATGCATACTCTTTTACTCTATCTAATCATTTGTAGATGACAAATAATTAGACAGAGTAAAAGAGTATGCGTATTTTAGCATGCGCTCTGGGGGAGGGCACCGAGCTCGGAATGTGTCCCGAACCCAGAGTGCCCCCGTATCTCTCATTAGGATAGTAACCAGGCGAGTGTGAGGACACAGGGTTGTGGGGGGATGCAGAAAAAAAAATGTCTAAGAACATAGGTGAGTCAGCTACGTATTCATACAGTAGGTCTCTCATGCTGATTGGATAGATCATTTGAACATGCTCCTCTCGAACTTTGTTAATAAAACATACTTTAGTGCCACTTAGATCTTTACAAAAATATTCAGGTTTTCAGGTTCACCTAAAATCCTCTGTGACCTTTTGGATCAAGTGACCACATCTGGAAAGCATTTCCTCACTGAAGAATCCACTCATATTTACAATTTTCCCCATCACTCTTCTTTCTTCTAATTGACCTTAACCTTTCCTTGATGCTTAGCTGGTGCCCTTAGGAACAATTCACAATCTTTCGTTGTTGTAGGCTATGGAAATGTATCAGGGATATTTAGTCTATGAAAGTTAGCTCCAGTTAGAGATGGAAAAAGTAATGATGCTTTGCATCATTTGCCCTCTGGTCCTTTTGTTCTTGTAAAACTCTGTACCCACCCTCTTTTAAATGTCCCTCTAACAGGATGAATCAGTCCCTGTAGAGTAGAATAAAGTCTACATCCGCACATATTTTCCTTTCTTTTTGGTCCTCTTTCTCATTGAAAGTGCACAATCAGCCATTGCCCAAGGCAGGGGAAATTTTGTGGAAGTTATAGGAATTGTTATTACTTTAATTATATTCACATCTCCATGCCATTCCAAACCCCTGACTTTCCTTCTTCTGTTCAACACAAAGGTTGATTTTTTTAACTAGCTGCTGTTTTCAATATAATGAAAATAAATGACAAATGTTGCTAACAGGATCAACAAAAATGTACCATAAAAGTATCGTTAATGTGCATATGATTTGTGACTTTTATCAGGCAGAAATATAAGTTGTCACACTGAAAACGTTATCCACCCTCCCTGTCCAATTCAAAAAACAAATGCTTTCTGGAACTAAAATGATTGAATAACTATGCACTTAGTCTGATCTTTTCAGTGATTCATTTGATCCAGTTCACACAATCTACTAACACATTAATGGGTCATAGCCGATTTGTGCCACACAGGATGAAAAAATCAGAATTGTGTCACTTGAACCATGTAATGTGTGCGGTGTTAGGCAGATCTGTTTAGGCATGAATTAGGTGTTCAGTCTGATATGGAGTCATTATCACACTGTGCCACTCAGACAGCTATGTAGCACTTACAAGGTTCATCTGTGATAAGTATAATCAACATGTCTGCCATCTGAGCTGTTTTTATACACTAGGCATTAGAGAACAGCAAAACTCTAGATACTTGATCACTTTTCTTTCCTCTGTTCGCAGATGCGCTTGGATAGGGGTGTAGACTTTGTTTCAATGTGGCGCTAGTTAGTTCTTGCCATGACGGCCATGTGAACGTCTTATAAAGTCTTTCCCACCCATTTTATAGCTGATGCAATATTTTTATTTAGCCTAAACAATGCTTGTTAGATTCTTCTCAGCATGTTTCTGAGCTTAAAATGCTTACTTGTTGTTTATTGTACAGTGATGGTTTGGTCTGCTCATCACATTACAGGCAGTAAAAATGGTATGAACTAGGGTCGGAGGCATTGCCATGTTCAGACTGTCAATCCTAATTGGAATTGGAATCTGATAATATTTAACAAGTGTGAATGGCAAAAAATTAGGGATGCACCGAAATGAAAATTCTTGGCCGAAACCGAAAACCGAAAAAGAGGAAACCAAGGCCGAAATCCGAAAACCGAAACACCGAAAGAAATTATGCCAATTATCAGTATCATTGCATTTATGGCTATGACTGTGTACAAACGTTACTAAAATCAAGGCATTGCAATTGCATAAATTAATATAAAATTTTCAAAGAATAAATCAATTACAAATTATGCAAATATTTATTTAGCACAATGTACAGTATAAAATAAAATTCAAAGTAAAATGTTTTTGACCCCACTCATGTGTACATTAAATAATAATCTAATGGCCTGCAGAAAGGTTTTAAAATTAAATGTTCTCTCATAAAAACAAAGCCGAGTGCGAACTTCTTCTCATCACACCAGCACCCTTTGCACGTCTAAATTAGTTTCTTACATTTTAAAAATGTAGCATACAATAGCATAAAAAGCCTTTTTAAATGAACAAAGGTCCATGATTAATACAAATGTACATGAAACTTAACGAAACATGTTTAGTGAATGTAGAAAATATTTAAGAGAGCATTAATTTAGTTCTATACATACATGTTCCCATATATATTTTTTTGTAATGTCACACAAGTAATAATCTCAGAGTTTACTGGGTTTTACATGATTATTCTTCTTCTCACCGATTCCTAATGGTTAGAGGACAGTTACTTGAATCGTCCCCTGTCGTTTCAAGGAATAGTACGACGGAGAGCGGGTCCAGTATAGACGAATCCGGCGAAACTACCGGAAGTAAGCGGGCGCCATTACTGAGCTGTTGCTGGGTAGCGTTGCGCCATTGCCTTCTATTGTTTTAGTTGCAACTTGCGTCCACTGGAATAAACAGCTCGAGATTTACGACTGACGCTAACGTTACAACGTTAGCCCTTGTATAATGTCGAGTGGGTAAACAGTTTCTGTTATAAATTGTTTCAATGGTGGCAGTAAAATTTCAATTTTGAAGCGAAAACATTGTGAATACCCCGGGTCGACTGCCCCTGTCTGGTGCCGTACGGTAAACACAGATTTCCTGGGCGAGTACAAGACGCGGACATTCGCGTATAATAACAATTATTTAATGACATAAGTAAAAAAATATAATAAATGTGTGATATAGTGATCAGCAAAATCTCCTCTCTTGTTATTTTTTCTATTCAATTTACATGCTATGGTCATTAAATGGCTTTCCAGAGCTAAATATAACGTTATGTGAAATAATTGTTCTCCTGCTGTTATATTGACCTCTTTCCATGGTTTAAAAACAGTAGTTGGTCAATATTGTGTATACTTTCTAGCTGTAACGTTACCTTACCCATGCCCGTTGCAATGTAAAAATTAGATAAATAATGGACACAAATGAAAAACATGAATTTGTTTATTTGATTTCATTTATTTATTTATTGTTGCCAAATGGACAGATCTTTTTTTAGTTTCCTCGGTAGCAAACGTTAGCCTAGCTTGCTTGCCAAGCTATTTTCATAAATAATCTGTAAGATCGTTTGTACCTTCATCTGTGACTGGAGGCCAATGTCTAACATCATCAACCCAACAAGTCTGCCTGGCTGTAGCTGTCATCAAGGGTGCGTTATCACCTTATCTCCGAGGTTTGTTTACATCCCGGTGCATATGTCTATGCCGGTGTAACAGCTCAGTAATGGCGTCGCCACAAGATGGCAGCCTACACAAGAACGCTCGTCGGATTCGTCTATAAACGCCTCGACCGTTTGGAGCGGTGCGCGCGCTGTCTGAGGAGACTCGCGCATACTTTCGCCTACCTCCGCAGCGCGAGTCTCCACAGTTTATACTTGACCCACTCGCATCCGGAGTCGTTGTCATGGCGGCGCGCATTGTTTAGAGCAGATATAGGTGGATAAACTTCCGTCTCCTCGCGGGTTCAGATTCACTGAAATACGTCCGCACCGCAAACATGTTGCTTCAGACAAGCACGTGCAGGTCGCGGTTTCTGTTTGCGTCATCACAACATTTCGGCCGTATTGTTTCGGTGATAAAAGTCTTTCGGCCGAAAACCGAAAATTCACTTTTGGGCCATTTTCGGCCGAAAATTTTCGGTGGCCGAATATTCGGTGCATCCCTACAAAAAATCATATGAAATGCGTTAATATGTTAGATGTTGTTTTAGGAAATGTGCTGAAAGTCACTGTAGAAACAAGGTTGCGTTGTTGCAAAGTGCTGGTCGAGCAGAAATAATGGAGACATGTTTTGATACGTCGTAGATGACAATAAACCTGTGTATACCAGCCTCCTACAATCTGCTGTTGCATCAGAAGA